CCTCCTCAGGAAATGGAAAAGGCCTGTCACAGTCATTACCATGACACGAGCACCTACCAGCAGCTTCCAACTGCTCATTCAAATGCCAAGTGACAGGCAGATGTTTCCAGTAAGAAATACAGTCCTCTCAGAGCCTTGGGTTTCATCATCCACCAGGACAGCATTGCCTCAGCCTTCTCTGGCCGGGGCTGTGACCTGCTGGAGTCACTTGAGCTCAGCCGGGCTCAGCTCTGACCATGGGGCCCAGACACACCACGTGGCACTGCTGGGACTGGAGAGAGGTTTGCTTTTCCTTGTCACAAACGTCCTTGTTAGCAGGAAGCTGTCAGGAGAAGGGGACATAAGACAACTTCCACCCTGCCTATTGTTTTCCCAGCAGCGTTTGTGTAGTGGATTTCTAAAAGAAAAAAAACCTCACAGACCACAGCTGGGAATTTGAAATAACACTAGGACAACTGTGCATGCTCTGTAATGACTTGATAATTAAGATAGAGTATAAACCATTTAAGTTGAAATGTCACTGATAAGTACACAGGAGGATTATAAACCCCATAACATTGCAGGTTCTCTGGTGCACAAACTCTATCCTTCTTGCAGGCTGCTTCTACATCTCCAACATCACCAGGGCACAACAGGGCCAGCAGATGGGGAGCAGGTGCAGTGGAGATCAGTGTGTAATATGGGCATGGACATAAACTCAGAGTTGACACTCCAGGGCAAGCTGGACAGGTCGGGAAATACTTTGCTGCTGCAAGATAATAAGGGTTTTAATGAGTTAGAAGTTCCTCCTGGTCAGCTGGCAGCCACCTGAGTCCTGTGAACAAAGTTTGAGGGGGCTTAGGGAAGAGTGGGCAGGTTGATGAAGAAGAGAGCTTGAAGGTGGCAAAAGTTGAGTTCAGATCACAAGGAACTGATCATTAAACCACCACAGCTGGCAACACCACCTTATTTAAGAATATTTCAAGACATCTTTAAAACAAAGAGCAGTGTCCAGCTATGAGATGAGTGATTAAAAACCCATGGTAGTCCCATAGGGAGAATGGATAACCATCTCCAAACTAGCATCTCGGGGTTGACCTATGCACGTCTGTGCCTCTGTGTTTGGGAGACCAGAATGTTTTTCTGATACTAGTTAGGCAAAACTAGGGTTGGCAAAAGTACTGGCTGGTCATTCCCCTTTTATCCAGTTGACTCTTCTTGCTGTTTTTCTGTCACTTACTGAAGTGTGACAGTGACTAAAATGTCACTGCTGGGAACAAAATGGCACATACACATGTATGCTACATGCATTGTGAGTCTCTTTCCCTTACAAATTCAAACCAAAATAACCTTTTATTTTATTTGGTAACTACTGCAAGCTGGGCAGCTGTTCTGCTCTAGAGGAAGGGTTGAGGGGAAGAAAAGGAGAGAAAGAGAGGTAAGGCCTAGCAACAAATAGCTTAATGATTGTTTTAATAATACTGTGAAGATGAGGAATACAGACAGCAGGTAAAATGAATGTGCCCTCAGATGCTGGGCTCCTCATGTGCACAGAGCATCAGTCAGAGCCCACATGGATTTTCCCACAGTGTGCTGCATAGAGCAGATACAAACCATCCATGGAGAGCTGGTCTCCCATTTTGCCACTTGAGCTGGAAATTTTATAATTTCTATACACAAAACCAACCTTTTATTCTAAAGGATGATCTCTTGTTGCTCCTCTGTTAGACAAAGGCAGGGCCAGGCAGGTGGTGTGATCATGGTTCTGAGTGGGAGCTGCCTGTGAGCTGTTAGGGTGACCTGGCAGAGGGATTCTGTGCCTGAGGGTCCCTCGCTCAGGGTCAATACAGCAGCCCAGGAAATGCCCCCTCCCATCTGATTTCAGGCCTTGGAGAACAGTTTGGCACAGGAATCCGAGAGTTTGAAACTGCTGACTCCAGAGCTTGCTTGCTTTCAAAACCACCTGGAGCTGGCCATGGCTGTGAGCTGGGATATGAAAGATCAGGCATTGCTGTGGCACCATCAGTCACACGTTGCAAGGCTGTCACTTTGCAAACACTTTCATGCTTTCTTATCTCCCAGGAACAACACAGCTGTGGGGCACAGCTGGTTTTCAGAGCTGTGAAAAAGCCTGAGGAACTGATGGCCAAGTCATAACCAGAAGGGCTCTCAGTAGCTGTTTTGTCATTGTAACACCACAAAAAAGATACAAAGAATTCAAATGAATGATGTTGAGCATAGTTTGCATTAGATTCCCTTTGAACTAGGAACCAGGTGGAAACAAATTGTAAAAGTGAGTGGTCATCAGGGTATACACCTTTTAAACAAAACCTTCCTAGCATGCTCTGCTCCCTTTACATAGGGCAACTCCAGGCACTCCAGGCTTTGGTAGAGACCTGGCTTGCTTCCTCCTCCTTCTTCCAGGCTTTCTCTAGTTTCCATGAGGTGTGCTGTGTTGCTGCTCCCAGCCAGGCTTTTGTTTAAGGAGATGTGGCTCGGTTTGGCTTTTCCAGTGCAAGAAACTTGCACTGGATGTGGGCGTATAGCAAATTTACAGTTACTGCTCTTCACAGAGTGTCTGTGAGCTGAATGTGTCACTGAGGGTGGGGGTAGTGGTTGAATGGCCAAGGTTTCACAGTGTGATCTCATTGCATAAAAGTACTGACTATCAACATGAGTGCAGCTTCAGTCTTTGAAATTCAGTAATTTTTGTTAGTTTTGGGTTACTTAATTTTGGGTACATTCTTCTAAGTAAAGTAGTGGACAAATGCTTGCAGGTTATTCAAGGTATTAATGTTTCATGGTCAGTTCTGTTCTCCACAAGTGAAACTGTTTTATACACAGGTATTGGGGCAAGAGCATCAGGATATGGTAAATATTATCATATGGAGAATTTGTAAAATAAACTGGAAGTCAGTGATTCTAGGAAGTAAATGCTTAATTTCTTTTGCTACTTTTGAAATTCAAATATGAATTAAAACAGCTGACCTTCAAAGCAAATCTGCCTGTCTACCTCACATACTAATAAAGACTTCATGACCTAGTATACATTAAAAAACCCCTTGGCATGTAAACTACATAGTATTTATATTTATATAGAGTTTAGTATGTGATTGGACCACCAAAAGTAGCAGATTACAACCGAAAAATGTTGAGTAACTAGACTTGTAGAAACTGAAACGCAGTTAAAAAGTTAGCAATGCAAACTCTACACATTAAATCAAAGTCTGCAAAATGTGTTGCTATACATGGGTAGGTGTGTGGAGGGAGAAGGTAGAGAGGGAAAAAAATTAGTCCTATATTAGAACAAAAACAAAAACCCAAAGAACAAAATCTAGACAGTCTCCAGGACTGAAAGCAGTTACCTGCCAGCTACATATAGATGACAAGGCAAATGAAAAATCGCATGCCCCACTTGGAGGTACATCTTCATTTTTAAAAAAAGTCACTTACAGGAGAGCAAGTTGGTGATTTGTCTTATATCCTGAACCTTTTTCAACCCTTGTCAGAAAATGATAAATTATTGAAGCATATTGTAGAGTAGCAACTCTATTTTGTGTTCTATCATGGCTTCTGAAGTGCTTAATGTGGAAAGGTCAACTACTGACTGCAAAATAATTTAGAATTATTTCTTCATCCTAAAAAACAGTAAAATTAAAATTTGCAGTTCACATTCTCTCCCTTTGATAACTGGAATGTTACTATTTCCTGCTTGCATCAGAGCTACTGGTACTTGGGAAGAATGGGACAGTGCTATACTCACACAGTTGTCTTGTGTTAATCCATCCAGAACTAGAAGTATTTTTGTTCCTGGAGGCATTATAAACTGTCCAAAGAATAAAGCCAGGCTTCAGAAAGCTCATGTAAAAAGTTGGCTCAATAGCCTCACCATGAGGTACATTACCCTAACTTGTAACTTCATCATGAAGAACAAGAAAACATTCTGAGTGTGTGATGTTAAGCAGGAACACTCAGGTGAAGAAGTGAATTTGAATTTTCAGAGTTGGTTTGGGTTTCTTCTTGGTTGACTGCATATAAAAGAAGATACACGCCATAAATTGAAATAAGTATCCATGTAAAATTGAGCTGCTTTTGTTCACTGTGCTTTGATTATTGGGGAGCATTGTTGCAAAATACACACAAACAGTTCCCTCTGGGAACAAAAAGTTCCCTCTCTGCTGTGGGCTCAGAGGTTCCCCCTCCCTAATGCATACCCCATACTCTAATGCACTTCTTCTCATTTCTGGCTAGACAAAGGGAATAGAGAGATGGTACCAGGCTGTGGGGGGAATGGACAGGAGAAAGAAGGAACTGGCTGGAGAGGACACATGTGGCATATTTATAAAACCTTTCAGATTCCTAGTGTATTTTCAGGAGCAGATTTAGGTATTAGTTAAAATTGCTTTTTGCTGAAGAAGTCCATTGTGTTTGGTAGAGAAGCACAAGAAAAAGGTCACCCCAAGCAGAGGAAGGGTGGGGGGTGCACAGGCAGGAGGTGAAGTAGCTACTAGGCTGTACTGACATACCAACTGAGAGCTCTTCACCTCTGACTGACTTCCTCAGCTGGCACAGAGCTTTCTTTTCACCCTTAAGGCTTTTCTTCCATTTGATTCAATTCCTTCCCCACCCCTAACTGTTGAAGTGTCACTGTTACATCCCTTGATTCAATCCACAATTCAAGATTTTTTGGACAGCTGAACTTTTTAGCCGGTGACTCTTACTAGCCTGGCATTTAAAGCTGACCCTGTGTTTTCCAAAAGGGACAGGTCATTGTCACCAAACCATTAGCATTTCCCTTCCCACCATCATCAGTTAAACTATTGTTCTGCCATCAATACAGAGCTCTAATTTGCAATTACTCCATGCCTGCTTACCTTCCAATGAGTACTTTTGTAACTGTTAGCATAATTAAATAAGCTGTTGCTTCAAATTAGTCTTGCAGCACTATTACATGCTTCCCTTTTATTTTTCTTTTGTACAATGGAACAAAGCAATGCTTTGAAACAAAAGCATTCAGGCAGTTTACACTCACATTTACATTTATTTAAAAAAATACTTAAACACTTGTGTATTTCACCTGTGGATTTTGAACTACAAATCAAATAGGGCTCATCACTTCAAAGAGGCTCACAAGTACAAAAAAACAGCCTCCTTCTGGCATCTTCACATCCTCCTCTTCTGGGTGCTTATGTACAACACTGTGAAAAAGAGAAAGTGGCACACAGAAGAGGGCCCTGGTAAATAACATGCAGAAGCCTTTTTATTTAAAACATCTTATTTCCATGGCATATAAATTGACACCGTAAGAGATCCCATTCAGCATGAACAAAGCCAGGCAACCTTTAAGTCCAAATTTCAAAAAATGCCATTAGCTCTAAACATTATGTATTACTTTGGTTCAATATTTATTTTATTCATAGCCCAACTAGGCTCCAGCAGATGTAGGTTGAACAGAGCAGGAACAAAGGCAGTGCCCTGCAGTATTACTGAAGGGAGCATGAGAGAGTTCCTCAGCAGCAGAATTACAGGTGTCAGACACTAATGCTGTGATCTTTCAATAAAAGCTGGAAATCCCAAGCACTTAAGGCAAAGCTAATGATTAGTTATGAAGGAAGAGACATCTTCCTCCTGCTTGGCTAATGATATTCCCAGAACAGATCCAGTCACAACATAAAATCATACTGTGCTCCTAAACCTGCCACGTCTTCAGTTCTCTGTTCAGCCTGTTCTTGAGCCTTCTGCCTCTCATCCCCTTGTTTTAACTTTCATAACAGATTATTTCCTTAATTGATTCTCCAGCTGAAATGTCACTCCAGTCCTTAGCATAATAGTCCAAATGCCTTGCAAAAAGCAAGGGTTGGCCTCATTTCAAGGATTATTTATCCACCCAAAATGCTCTTTTACACTGGTGCCACATTCTCTTCGACTCTTTCTCTAACATGGAGTTTGGTCCTTGTGTCTTTTTATTCCATCCCTCCTTGCTGAGCTCCATTTTCTTCACAAGTAACTTGGTCAAACTCTGCTTCATCTACCTCCTCTACAAGTCTCTTCACCTCCGACTTGTGAACCTTTTCTATTTTTAGATACTCTTCTCCCTGGCATGTCCTGCTATTACAGCCTGATACCAGAGTCATTTCAGGAGCCTGGGATTGTCCTTGAAGTGCACTAAAATCCACCTACTGCACTTGGATATTCAAAGGCTCGATATTAAAGCATGAGTGATTTTTTTGACTGGCGGTAAAATCTTTACTCAAAAGATGAAAATAGCCTCCAGGACTAAGGATAAGCACTCATTCAGTCCTGGAAAACTGCTTCACCAGAAAGCTGTGTCACTGTAATATCTGCACTGTAGCATAAATTTATGCAGTAGCTTACCTAAAAACACAAACTCTTATGGTGCAGAGGCCATCTAGGCAAGCAGTAAGTGCAAAAGAGTAAGCCTGTCAAACAGTAGAAAATACGCTCCAATAAGGCTAGAAAAGAGCATGGTTCTCTAAATGAACTTCAAGTTCAGAGGAAAAAAAGACCACAGGAATGCAGAAAAGCACAGACCTTGGAAAGAGAAACTGTAAAAAGCAAATATTGTAAAGACTTCCAAGAAAGAATATTAATTTTAGGCTTACAGGCTTACTTACTCCTTAGTCACCCCTCAAATTCAGAATATCAAAACACAATTTTCTAATCTGCAGTAGCAGAAGGAGTAGGAATTACCATTATTTCCTCGGATAAATGCATCTCCATACTTGTTCTTTAACTGTCCATTTACATATTCCTCAGTCTGCTCCAGAGCTATGTTCATATATCCATCCAGGCAAGCCAGGACACCTGAAAACAGTGGCAGTTTAAAAGAGAATCAGCTTGAACTTATTTTAAAATAAACAGAAATGCACGGTGTTTGAACAGTACAGGAAAAAAGCCCACGCTGTATCCTTATAACAAACTAAAAACCCAAGTGTGGACAGATGTTTTCAAGGAATTCAGCTGGAGAAAGGAATCCCAGGCACTCTGGTAGCAATGTTATCAGTTGTTGTAAGAGTTGTGGGAGTAAAAAAAAGAGGTTATTAAGGCATTAATTCAAAAGATGGACAATTTCCATTTTGAAAGTTCAAGCTGTCCCTTCTCACTTGTGTTTTAAGCACACACCAAAAAACACCTGGGGCATTAAGTGTAACTGGATAACCTAAGGACAAAGCTATGCAAACTGAGTTGTCACAAAACTTGTGAAGGATATAGCTGAAAAACAACCCTTTTAATACAGGACAGCATACACATATTTGTCTTCATGCTTACAGAGCTAGAAGAACACTGTCTGCAAGCCTCTGTTTTGATGTCAACAAAATTCTACACATTTTTCAACAAAGGCCACTGAAATCTTCCCACAAAAATAAAATTACAATGTTTTGATAATGCATTTAAAGAAAAAAAATCTGTCATTTGCAATATTAGATTATTTTTTTGGATCAGCAATATACACATTTTAGTAGCACAGAGGTAATACAGCTTTTTACAAGTTGTTTTGTCTTCCTCTTGCATGTGGGTCTTCCTGACTTTATCCTTGCACAGACAATACTATTTAAATAACTTTTTCCTCTGTCTGAAAAACACCTAGCTATTTACCTAGCAGTAAAACTTGAAATATAGTAAATTGGCTGTTCTTAGGAAGACAGAGAAAACTCAGGACACATTCTCATTTTTCACAAGCGTTACTGCAGGATCTTCTAGTTAATAATCAGGAATTCAACTACTTCTGTTAATTTGTCATGGCTTAAAGATTATTATTTTCCTTTCTGTTTTTCTCTCCTCTGTTTCCACAGACACAGAAAAACTGCTCACAAAGTGCCACTAAATGCATCAAAAAGACCCAAACCAAAGTCAGGATTCTTTTCCACTCTAGTAATCCTGAGGTATCCATACAGCAACAAAAACCAAAAATATGTTTGTACAAAATTAAAACTGGACCGTGTGGATTTACCTCAGTTATGTACAACTCAGTAGGCCATAAATGCAGTATTTTCTAACTCTTTTGCTCCTAGAGTGCATTCATGGCTGTTTCATTCTCTTCCTCCTTTTCTTTGTGCTTACTCTTACACCACTAATGGCATCAAATATGATCACTGCCCATCCCGGCTAGCATTTTATCTGTTTTATCTGTATGTAGAGATGTTTTAATGTACATATCCATATTTACACACAGAAACCACACATTAATGTATTGATCATTTCCCAGGGCTTCCTGACTTGGACATTTGCAGCTTGGCAATGGCTGAATACAGTTCATTCACAGATCAACGCTTGCATGAGGCCACGTTGGTGCTGGTGTGTGTGGGGCCTCCGAGGGTGGAGGCAACAAAAACATCAGCAGCACAGCCTGGGGGAGAATCTGGACAGTTCTGCAACAACAGCTCGAGATGCTGTTTTGTAAATGTTTGGCTTTTACAAATGCTGGTCACATTTCTGCAGAAAACAAACTAAGTGTGCATTTTTCAAACAAAAACACTACACGGATTTTCTGTCACAAGATCAAAGGAGTGCAGGGAATTAAGGAAGGGAAGAGGGGGAAAAAATCCAGTGACAAATAAGGTTGTTCAGGGAACTCTTGTTCAATTAATGTGGTAGGCATGTTAAACCAGCTCTGCTGAAGGGTAAATTGAGTGGTTCATTTACAAATGGATTTTACCAAGGGAGAGGTAGCAATGGTCTCAATGAAAATAGGAAGTGCAGCAAAACCCAAATCTGGTTTGGCCCTGCCTTGTGTGCACCCTCGGGTAAATGAGGACTTGCTTTAACTGACTTTAATGAGCTCTCTCTGCATTCTCCTGCACTGAAGAATTTACAGAGAGGCAACAAACTTCTTAAGCCCCCAACCCCACCTGAAGTGCTCAGACAATGTGGTTCTCAAAGAAATGAGAGACTGCAAATTTTGTCAGCTGAGCAACACTGCAGGGAAACAGGAAGGAGTAAGAAGCCACTGCTTGCTCTGTCAGTGAACAACAATTTAAAACTGTCCTAGCACAAAGATTCCTTGTCACAGCACAAACAAGTCTCCTGCCACAAATGCCAAGCTAAGCCACTTGAAGTAAACCTCTCTGAAGAAGGGGTCTGTTGCAGAACCATAATGTTTAAGTCAGTACAGAATAAAATTTCTTAACTGAGCACAGCAGAAGATACATGATTCATTTTGACTGAGTTTGGATACTGCTAAAAGATTGGTCAGGTTGATACTGTTACCTTAGTAACAGCAGGACCAGGACATTTCACTGCACAGAGAACTTTAATTTACTGATTAAAAAAAAATCTATAATCCTATATACATGAAAGTATACTGACAGACTTGGCAAAAGCTACACTAAACTTTTCCCAGTACCTCTGTGAGCCTTGATCTGACACAGATCTAGGCAGTTGTTTAACCAAGAATGTCAAGAATGCTTTTCATTGTGTAAGAATTCTATTATGACTGACAGCAGAGTTTACTCTGAAGCTTTCCTGGATCAAGATCTGTATTACCTAAATAGAGAATAAAAAGGTGAAGGAAAGTCTAGTTCCAACAAGGGGTGTTTCTGGCCATTTCAGGAGTTGTAATTCCAGACAATCTTTCCAAGTATCAGTTTAAAAACTCAGAATCATCCAGTTTAATCAGCTGTGACCACGGACACTAATGATTTAGATCAGTAATTTTAATCTCTAAACCCACTGCTGTTAGCCCCAACTTTTTATCACTTTCTCTAGAGCTGATTTTCTATTTTTACTGTCACTATTCTGAGATCTATATTCTCATACTCCACGATTCGGGATCACACTGCTTCTCTTTTCTAAATCAATGCATGTATTCCAGCCTCCTCAATGAATTACTTTACTCACTGTGAGAGACAGATGGAGAGCTTACCTCGATAATCAACTCCAGAGTTTAATTTTACAACAACTGGCCTTCCAATGATTTGTTTTAGGAAGTCACTGGGGGTTTGCTTCCGTAAACTCATCTTGATCTTCTCTGGTAAGCTGAGAAGTAAAGAGAGGACATTAGCATAAGAGACGTGCCTCCACATTGTTTTAAATACTCTGTACACACAGGCACACTCCTGATTTGTAATACTTTCAGTAGGAGAAAATACGGAAGGAAATGAAAGCAAAACTTTAAGGGTTGAGGTGAGGAGACAGAGCTCCTAAAGCCAGTGCATTCAACCTTCCCTTTGGCATTTTTATTACTTCTGAAAGTATTACTAAGAATCCTTGTTTGCCACACCGTGCATCTTGTAAATTTCAACAGGCCTCATAATCTCTAAAACCTTTGCTAAACATAATCTCTAAAACCTTTTGCTAAAATCCTTTTAGAGGGCTAAGCCATAAATAGGTGTTTCATGTCTTTAGGGGCGGAGGGAGCAGCACACCCATGCTCTACACACGGAAGTCTGTGCGAGAACAGCAAGAGTAATTTTGACCTCAGCTCACAAACAGAAGAAAAGCATAAATTTAAAAGCACGCCTTCAGATAATAAAGCAAACTAAGTTAAGGCTTGTGATTAAATGACAGAGGAAAGATGCTGTGATTTATAAACGCAGCAGGCGCACCCAGTTTGGTGCAGGACCCCTTCTCAGCACTCGCCTGACTTCTGCTCTAACATCGCTTTGTTCTGCGTCTGGAGCCAAGGCAGGAAACACCGCACGCTGCCCGCTTCATTTCGCTGCTTCCCGGGGCAAACCGCAACGGGCGGTTCCGGCCGTGAATCCAGGGATCCTCACCGCTTCCCTATCAACACCCACCGCCACCGCCCATGCCGGCGCCCCACGCCTGCGTCCCCTTCCCAGACCACACACGCGTTTGGAGCCGCTCCCTCCGCGCGGAACCCCCGCCTTCCAGCCCGGGCCCAGCCCCGGGGGAGGTCGCGGCCGGCGAGCGCGGCTCCATGACCCCCAGCCCGGGAGCACACGCACGGCCCCGGGCCGGGCCCGCACTCACCGCCGCCGCCTCTCCCGGCGCTTCCCGCGCCCGCCGCTCCCCGCCCCGCTACGGCGGCCGGGCGGGACAGCCCGCGCAGGGCCCGAACGCGGGGCGGGCCCGCGGCCCGCAGGGGACTCGTCCGAGCCGCGGGGGTGAGCCCGGCCCCTTCACGGAGATTGGGGGGTTTTATGGCTTGCTTGGGGTTCCACACAAAATAACACCCCATCGGAGAGAAATCTTACAGGATGTCTTGTGGGAAAAATCTTCCAGGATGTTATGAGGGGGAAAAAAACCCCACAGGATCAGTTAAGCTGGGCAAGGCCTCGGAGACCATCGAGTCCAAGCTATCAGCCAACACCACCGTGTCAGCCAGCCAGACCATCCACCGAGGGCCGCATCCAGGCCCTCCTTAAACACCTCCAGGGATGCTGGCACCTCCCTGAGCAGCCCATTCCAATGCCCAGCCACCCTTTCTGTGAAGGAATTCTTCCTGATGTCCAATACGGTACTCATTGTTGTATTCTACTCCAATGGGACCCTGTTAATTGCCAAATGATCTTGTCCTTATAGGAGACACGGTGAGCACCTCACAGGTGTCCTGTCCAGCAGCAGACAGGAAAGTGCTGAAGGTCATTTCACAGAGCAATCAGTGAACATAGAAACATAAGAGGTTTTTTGGTTTTTTTAAGTCACCTGGGAATAATTTGGCACAAGAAGAAACTGAACTCACCTTCTGCTCTTCTGCTTATCATCTCACTTGTTTTTCCTCCTTTCCCCCAGCTATCCCCTCATGTCTGGAAAATACTTATTTTTGTCTTTCTTTTTTTTTTTCTTTTTAGAATTTAGTACTGTGACAAGAGTTAATCATCTGTGAAAGCTTCTGGACTGTTTTGTTTTGTTGGGTTTTTTATCTGTCCGGTATTGATTTAGTATCTTGTCAAACCTCTCAGTTCTCATGATGCAAAGAAAATGTGGCTTTTCAGAACACAGATTTGTATTCTCGCTTCTTTCTAGAGTTGTTTATCTTCTCTTTTTGAACACGTGTCCAGTAACAATTTTTTCTCAAATGCTTAGACTAAAAGGCTTTTAAGAGGCAAGAGCTGCAAACCTGACCTTATTCACCTGCCTGTCCCAGAGTTCAAGCACAGGCAGGGACAGGGAAGTTTGGCCACACTGTGCCTGTGTTTCCAGGCAACCATCATGTTAATCAGGAGCATCCAACTGTGCTTGATTATATCTAGTATTTGAAGCAGAAAAGGAACATAAAATAGTTACTCCAGGGAGCAGACTTGCAAAGTTTTATTTGGCTTCCTGGCTTCAGTGAATAATGCTTTGATAAGGGAATATTCCTGTTTTCATTGTTATCAATCTCCAGTATAAAGATTGGGCAAATAAAACTTTCATGTCTGGGCTGGTTAATTTGCATGGCAATTTTGCAAATCCAACCAGGGACACTTTGTTTTTTGTGAGCCTTCCTCTTTGTTTTATTTCTTACAAGCTTGCCTTCAGAGCTTGTATTTTTTTTTTTCCCGGAGCCATCAGAAACTGATGAGCTGTTTTGCCTTCTGCTCAATAGGCTGCTTTCTAGCTAGCTGAGGCTTATACTTAATTACAGTTTCTACATGTATGGATACTTTGATTGTCTGCTGTCAGTCAACAAAATCCTTGTGCTTTCCTGCTTCACAGCCTGTGAACCTCAAACACATCCGAGTTGAATCATGGGCATTGAGATTGGCAAGTTCTGTATCCTTAGCTCCCTTCTTCCATGCTTTGAGACCAGGTCATGAACCCAAATCTTGGGTCATTTTCCTTGGTTTGCCAGAGGTCTCAAAGCAGTCTCATGCTGTTCCTAGAGGTAAATTAGCCTTAAATGGACTCCTTAAGGATTCCAAATCTCCAAGAGTGAAAATAGAATTCAGATATCATTGGCTAATGATTATGTTTTGTTTGTTTGTCCTCTAGATGAAAAAGTATTTTGATCTAAAATGTTGCATAGCTGGCTCTCAGTAGATTGTTTTAAATTCTGCATTGCTTTATCTTTTCCTAGTGTACCATGGTAGAGAATTTTCAGCTGTATAACTCATGGAAATCAGCGAGATGCTGCCCTTGTGTTTTAATCAAGATGAACTTGAAAGGTGAACATTGTAAGTGATAGAAATTATTTATAATTTGGTAATAAAAGTTTATGTCTAGCACTCCAAATTTCACACATCTGCTATGTGCTGGCCTTGAGATATAGAACAATTGCAATTGCCTTTACATTTGGCCTCAGATGAAAGGTCATAAATTACAATGATAGAGTTCGTAGTCGTTCCCAGCTCACAAAATTTCCATATTAACATCTTCACCTCAAACACAAATGGTTACAGAGTTACAAAGTAAAGAGTTGTGTTGGCCTTTGTCAACTGAACTTTAAGATGGAAGTCTGTGGATCGTGTACTATTGCTAACTCTTAAACATAAAGCATCACAGAATCCTTGTTCAGAGGACCTAATTAAAACTTTACAGTTAACTTTAAAAATGAAATGGGATTTCACTCTCACTCACTCTCTCTCTCCCCTATCAATGCAGTAAAACTCACTTCAAAGTTAGGAAGGTTTTTCTCTCCCAGCTACTTGAAATAAAAAGCATTTTCAGAGTGAGATGGCTACAGAACACAGAATGGGTCAGGAGTGTCCAGTTTCTCCTTTTCCTGTGAATTGCACATCGTTTATGTAAGTTAAGTGCACATCAGCAACAATCCAGATGACAAAAGAATGTCTGTGGCACATTTTGAATTCAGCCTGAACAATTCCCAGCTACACCCAGTAGAAGAATAAAAGCCTCAATCTTTCAGTTCTCATCTGAAACTTGTGTCAGAGAGAACAAATCCTTTCTGGCCCAAATCACAGCATATCACATGATTTTAACAATTAACTTTGGTGCCTTCTTAGGTTAGGAAAAAAAGAAAAAAGCGCTTTTAAAAATTATGCAATGAAGTAAGAGGCCAAGATCAAGTTCCAAATCCAGGGGAACATTTCTGATTCAGAGCCTCTGAGAATGGGGAGGTAGAAGGAGGTATCAGCCTCCATGAAATAGAGAAGCTCTGCAATTCAAGATTAGCACTGCTATTGCAGGGTTTCCTGAGGGCCCTGAAGTAAACATGATAGTGGATTTCTGGGGTTTCGGTGGAAGACAAAATTCTGCTCTCACTGAAGCCAGCAGAAATTTTGCTAATTACTCCTCCGTTACTTAGGGTGCCTCTGTAAGTTACTGAAAATACACCTGAGGTCTCAAAACCTTCCTTCTGGAGCTATGTTCTTTCACTGTGATTTATGCTTCTTAGAACTGTCTTCTGATGTTTTGGGTGTGAGGAATAGGACATTAAGGAAGTGAAGAGTGCATGAAGAAGCAAGAGAAAGAAGGGAGGTATTGGGACCTTCCTCCTTTTCCTCCTCTGCAAACTTCCTGGTGGACAAGGAGCTGTCAGCAGTTCTTCCAGGGAGCTGGGGAGAATAATGTAAGAACTCAACCTGAGGCTTTCTCTCTGTCTCCTACACTTTCAGTTCCCTGAAAAGGAAAGGAAGAGCCTCAGAAGCTTTCAGAGTTCACTTAACCCCCTCCAAGCTCCTGGGAATGCTTGGCTTCCCAAGGGCCTGGCTTTTTCATGAGCATTAGGAAGTCAGATGTTCCACTTTGCATGCATTTGGATGGGAGAGTTCAAGCCTCTCAGCATGTGAATGATTGTCTGTGTCTATACAGTAAAACTTCAAAGATGTTTTTCTCCTTAAACAGAGGCTTAGTTATCCAGCATTATTTCCCATCTGTGCTAGGATCATCAGAACTACTGATTTCTTTCCATGTTCTCAACTAAAAAGTTAACGTATTTTAGAATGGAACCTTACTCAAAAAAGTATTGGGTTTGAGCTATGGATTTTAGATAGAAGAGCCTAACAAAATTCTGTCATCTTCAACTTCTCACACTGTGCTCACCACCTTGGGATGTTCATCTCCTCCTCTATGGCATAAGTGACACAATGACCTTTTGTCACAAGTTTGTCTCTTCTATTTTCTGTCCAGTTAAAATATAGTGTGACAGATCATGTCAGGTTTGTGCTTTCTGTTAAGCAAAGGCTGGAAACCCCACTTGATTCCTTTTTTGCACCACTTAGCTAGATTTTTTTCTAAAATATGATGGACTTGGAGCAAAGCTTTTTGTGCTTAGACTCTATAAAATATTCACATCAGGGTAAAAACACATTCTATATCTTTTGCTTCAGGAGTATCAATTCCAGATGATATTTCCATGTAAACTTCCCCACATCCAGTTTGGTAAAGCTGATTCAGTGCTTCAGGTGGAAAAATCTGGTATCAATATCAAGTTTAAGCAAAGAAGGGGGTTGAAGTGGTCACTTTAAACTGACCTGCTGGTGCAAAACATCTGCAAATTGGTTCCCAGCTCCCTAGAAATGCTTCTGATGCAGACTTGGGGATATGAAGCAAACATGAGCCAGATTTGAAGTGTAGTAATAACAATACATACCTTGTCCTGAATTTCAGTGAAAAAGGAAGGTTAAAGTGTGTTCAGCCACCTTAAGCATGTAGAATAATGGGGATCATGTTACCATCACCATTTACTAACAGGAGAGCTGAATTTCTTTAGAAATAAAATGCAATTTAATGTCAATGTTAGGCCACTCCTATAGCATTTGTGACTTGGTATTTTCCAATAGGCCCAAATTTCTGGCTATTGACTAAAAAGTCATTATTTTGTGAGGGGAATGAAGGAGAATGCAATTATTTTGTTATATAACAACAAAAATGGGTAAAATCAAAAGGGAAGACTAGAAGGCTATATCTA